GGGAATTGTACAATTTTGGATACAACAGACAAACCAAAAATTACAATAACAGATATTAAAGATATATTTCAATCCAAAGAATCTGTTAGGAACAACAAAATTGAAAGTTTAAAAAATCGATTAGATAATTTGATAAAAGAAGATACCTGGGAGGTAGAGGATATTTTTATTGATCATAATTACAGTATTGCTTCAACAAGAGATTCTATAACCTACTATATATGCGGTTATTTGTGTTACCAAATTAAAAAAAGAACTAGTTGTAGAATATGTTCCAAAGCAATGAGAGAAGGTAAAATTTTAAAGTTAGGTACTGAAAATTAAATATATAATATAGTTTTATAAAAATAATTATTTAATATGTTTCAAAAGGAGATGATTCAATTCCAGAAGCAGCATTGACAAGTATTAAATCAAAAGGAAGATTAATACATCCAAATAAACATATATATTCTTTTATATCTGCCTTGGAAGAAGTATTTGAAATGTTCTGTGAAAGTTTCAATGTGTTTGAAGAAACAGTAGATTATTTCCTAGAACACAAAACAAATCTATTGACTTTTCCTTGCGAGTCCCACAAAAGTGAAATATTGACATATATTATTACTTACTACTTAACCATGAGAATGAGACAATATTCACAAATGGCAAATCAAAAACAGATCAAAGTAAGCTGCAAAAAGAAGAAATTGTCAAAGTTGGTAAAAACATAAGATAAACGTAACAAATGTACATAATATTTTTTTTATATACCTACAGAAACGTCAAAAACTGACAGCTATTAAATCATTATTAAACTTACTTTTTAGCATTAGCACCACGGCATTTACTATATATTTATTATTATTTATTATCACTAATATCACTATTCTTTAGTGTTATCCTATAAAAAACGTAGTTCGTACTACTAACAGGCAGAGTGCAGCTACATCGCATGTGTACGAACCTTGTACAACTATGTGTCCGTGATTTTCTCTGTAGTGTCCAGTCCTGTGTAGTAGTTCATGCTATGTATAATCAATGATACGGACTAAGATAGTATATTCACGGACTGGAAACGACATGGCGGGCGGGTGATGCGGTACAGGACTGCTTAAGGTTAGGAGTAGGCTTGTGCGGGGTGAAATGGGGCAAGTGCGAATGTAGCGCTACAACGGACTAGGATTGAACTATTAGTTATTACTATTATTTAATATTAAAATGTATGTAATACATTTTTGATGTCGTAAAATGGTTTTAAAGGTAAATAGATTCTGGATTTTTAAAACGTAGGGTAATAAGTACACATGCATAACAAAAATACGCGATTTATTTATTAACCAAAAAATATTACACTTCCTACTTTAAATTTTAATTATAAAAATACAGACGAAACAGTAAGCATTTAGTTTAAACCAGACTCCCTAAGTCTCCATTTCAAAATTCTGTTTCTGATTGTATTCTCTAATTTGATTAATATTTTAATCTATGTATTAACAAGTTTTGAATTCTTCTTTTTCTTTGCATTATTTTTCTTTTGATCATTGTTTAAAACTTTTGTATATTGACACATCCTCATCTTTACGTTATATGATATTATAAAAGTCAGTACTTCAATTTTATGTATACTACATGGAAAAGTGTTGATAAGTTTCAATTTTTTGTTAAAAAAATCATCAACTGTCTGTTGAAAAACATCATAATCATTGCAAAATTTTTGAAATGATTCCTCTACCTTCGTCAACAAATTGTCAATTCATACAATTCTCTTGTATCGTATGCCTTAAAAAAAAAAAAAACATTAAGTAAGTACTCACACTCCTATTATTTACCTAATTAAAACTACATAAATTATTTCACTTTATTTTAGTGAAAACCAGAGGGTATAATAATTATCTACTATATCACCAACAAGCTTAGTGCTTATATTTTATAATTTACATTCGGCATAATTACTTCAGATGGGTGAATTGGTGATTCACAAGCTGACTCTGCTGTTGATAAAGGTTGAGAGATATTTGTTTGATCAAATACAAATGGAATAGATCCTTTTTTCAATTTGAACAATGTTCTTTTATGATATCCCTTTAAAAAAAAAACTTAAAGTACTGACATTCTATTAGGTGTTTGAATCATGTATAAAAATTAAATTTATATAAATTATTTCCCACTATTTGATTAAAAACAAGATGGGGATTGGGTATATCCACTATATCACTCACTAGCTTCGTGTTTATATATTATAATTTACCTCCGGCATAACTACATCAGATGGTGTTTGTGAATAGTTAGTAATGACATCATCAGGTGCAAAGTGTTTAGAACAAATGTAGTTTAATGGTTGTAATTGATTGTTTACTGTATTATGTACTGCTGATTCCCAAGCTTCTTTGTTACTTTCGTATACTTTGAATAATGTAACATTTGTCTGATCTTCACGACTTTCACATTCATTAATTGAACATTTACGTACTTTACGTCTTGGTGCCATTTTGCAACTTTTAAAGTATGAATAGAAAAATTAAATTTTGATGTAAAAAGGTATGTAATAATTAAACAAAATCAGTAATCACGGACTAAGATAGTACTATACTACTATGTACTAAAACCAAGTCAAATATTGTGATGAATAATAAACACGTAAATAAATAATAATTACAATAATATACATTGGAGGGAAAATTCAAAAAGTAGACATTTATGGTTCACTTTTATAAACATAGATAGAGTGCGAATCGTACTTGCCCAATTTCACCCCGCACAAGCCTACTCCTAACCTTAAGCGGTCCTGTGATTTGGCGTTCGTTTCCAGTCCATACTATCTTAGTCCGTGATCAATGATATTATCTATATCAGCTGTGACACAAAGTATGATCATGGAAAAAAAAAATATTCGGAAAAAAACTTTTTTCCTAATTTGTACAGGTGAACGATCAATTTTCATACAATTTATATAATTATTTGAATACATTTTGAAAGCCCAAAGTAGCCAATTAGTTGCTACAAAATCGTCCAATTTGCGGTATACCGCAAGTCATTAATTTCCGCCGCCATTTGATCTTCCAAAATAGCCCATTTGGCAACACTGGCTCACAGTTGGCCAGACGAGTCGCCCGCCGGGACGGCCGTTGATGTGCGGCCGGCGACGCTCCGTCGGCCCGTCACCATCATTATGGTTTTTGTTTCCGATTGCTGTGTCGGTCCGTTACGAAGATATCGTGCGTGTGGTAAACTAGTGTGTGCAATTCGTAAACCACGTTTTTACACTAAAACAAAAGAGAATCTTTTCTGAATTGTTTATCCGTTCACATCCGTCTCGCATCCAAAAGCCAGACACAGCTGATCAGCTACCCCGACGGCAGATCAGCCATACTAGCAGCTCAGCAGACATCAGCCAGCTCCGGAGTGGTTTAATGATTGTACCCCTTAACTATTAATATTGTGTCACTATAATATAGATCCATATTATAGCCATAGAATTAACTGACTATTTATTCTAGAAATTAAACTTGTTGTATTCACCTGAGAATCGTCCAGAGGAGGTGAGGCTGCCGGCGTTAACTGTAAAGTGCGCACGTGGCCAGCAATGATAGATTAGTAAAAAATACTATAGACTAAATCATACTTATACATTATAGATTTAAATATCACCTAATGACGATGATGCTTCTAAATATAAGGATTCTACTGGTATATTTATAAATTGTTTTGAGAAACCATTTGCCAGTAACTTACATTCATTCTTTAAAATCTTTAATATCATCCACTTCAGCCATTCAATAATGTGAGCTTCAACCCAGCAAAAGCATATTTTCGAAAAGATAAAAACATTTAAACGACAATGGCTTACCTATTCGAAATATAAGAAAGTTTTCTTTTGTACATTTTGTCTAGCTTTTGGTAGCGATAACAACCGTTTCACTTCAGGATTAAAAGCTGAATCAATTAATAATCCATAAACATGAATTAAAGAACATGAACAAATGTCAGATCATGTAAATAATTGTGAAGCTTTTTTACATTATACTAATGCGACAGATATTAAATCTAGATTCAATACTAGTAAATAGTATGAGGTAGAACGAAAAAGGGCTGTTTTTCATCAACTTATAGATATAATAAAATTAATAGGAAAACGTGGGTTAAGTTATCGGGGATCAAAAAACGAAGAAGCAGCGTACACATTGGGTAATTCTTCATTGGATCATGGCAATTTTTTAGAAATAGTTTTGCTTCTTTCAAAATATGATCCCTTATTAAAAGAACATGTAGATAAAGTTGTTTCTAAAAGTCAAAAGCTAAATGTCATAAAAATGAAACAACATCTTGTAACATCACAGCATTTTTTGCCTTAGTATTGTGGCGAACCAGTGTTCACCACATGCTCCCTCCCTATGTCGGTCGCGCTCCCACTGTTGGCAGCACCGCTCGGCCCTCCGCGTCGTTCGCGACCGCGAAGTGTCGGGCGGCTGCCAACGGCCGGGGCTCGCTCGGCAACCGTCAACCGACGTACACGACGTGCACAGTCCGTCCCGCCGCCATGTTTCGACGCCGTTCAAAAACCGCCGCACAATGACGCACGTGTCCGCGTTTCGTCGTCCCGTCTAAAAACCACGTCAGCACGCCCGCAAGCACGCCGCCGCTACCACTGGTACGCTCACGGCACCCCGAGGCACGACTTTGGTTTTTACCCTACGACGACACCGCGCGCCCACGACTCACATGACGCCGCACCCGAGCGCCGCCGACATTTTCGCCACTGGCTAATCAAAACTGTTCCTTAACATCTGGCTTACAATAAATACCGTCTACTCGCAAAACCAACCCGAGTGTATTTATTTCATTCCCCCTGTTTATGTTGGCCGCGTAAGTTGCGTGAACCTCACCTAAAACCTACGCGCGCCACATTGGTGACCTCTTCAAAAACGAACACGCACGCCGAACACGCGCTCCAACACCGCGTAAGTCGCGCACGCCGAACACGCGCTCCAACACCGCGTAAGTCACGCACGCCGAACACGATGACAGCTCAGACAGACCAGCAACACGGCTTCTCCGGCGCTCCGGGCTTCACCACGGATCAGGTACTCAGCCGAGCGCACATGGTTGTGCTCAACACCTCGACTCCTCTGGTCAGCTCCGTTCGAGTTCTCGCCATTACGTACCCGCTGCTCATCGCGCAGGCGCGCACTTCAACCGTCGTCAAAATTCAACATCGTTCTCAACTCTCAAACTAAACCAACCATCATCATTCAAAATTCAACATCAATCAACTCGGTTTCACCTCAAAATCTGCATCACTTCTTCTTTCGGCCACACATCCAAATTTCTCCAATCATCTCGAAACTCAAAACATTTCAAATTCAATCAACTTCAACCACTCAAAATCTTCATCTCAAGAAACACTCGCCCGCCGTCCTTCCGTTTGAGCAGAAAGCGCGCACGTCTCCGCACCCCGCAGCATCGCTGCATTGAGACGCGCGCGTGAGTACGATCGCAGTTGGACGGTTGGGCGAACCGTCATCTTCGAGACCGCCGTCGCGGGGAACCGCATTTCGCGCAGCACCGCGCCTTCTCCGAACCGCCCACCACCCGCCTGTGTGGAACGCACGCGTATCGTTGCTACAACGGCACTGCCACAGCCCACGTGCGCGTGTAAGTACGGCACGGGTACACGGCGGCTAAGAGTTCGCGCTCATCGCGCGATCGGTTTCTCGCCTCTTCAAAATTCATCTTCAAGCCAAATCGCCCGTCAACTTCGACTCATTCTGTCAACTTCAATGCAACTTCGATTCATCTTCCGCCGACTTCAATTTTCAACTTTCATCCACTGCAAACTCATCTCCATTCGCATCTTCAATCAACATTCATTCATCTTCCTTCAACGGCCTCTTTCGACTTTCAGCATCTCAACCTCAGCTTCAAAATATTGTAAAAAACCTGTAAATATTTTTCTTTTTTTAAAGGGGGGAGTAATGTGGCGAACCAGTGTTCACCACATGCTCCCTCCCTATGTCGGTCGCGCTCCCACTGTTGGCAGCACCGCTCGGCCCTCCGCGTCGTTCGCGACCGCGAAGTGTCGGGCGGCTGCCAACGGCCGGGGCTCGCTCGGCAACCGTCAACCGACGTACACGACGTGCACAGTCCGTCCCGCCGCCATGTTTCGACGCCGTTCAAAAACCGCCGCACAATGACGCACGTGTCCGCGTTTCGTCGTCCCGTCTAAAAACCACGTCAGCACGCCCGCAAGCACGCCGCCGCTACCACTGGTACGCTCACGGCACCCCGAGGCACGACTTTGGTTTTTACCCTACGACGACACCGCGCGCCCACGACTCACATGACGCCGCACCCGAGCGCCGCCGACATTTTCGCCACTGGCTAATCAAAACTGTTCCTTAACATCTGGCTTACAATAAATACCGTCTACTCGCAAAACCAACCCGAGTGTATTTATTTCATTCCCCCTGTTTATGTTGGCCGCGTAAGTTGCGTGAACCTCACCTAAAACCTACGCGCGCCACAGTATCATAAATATAATGAACATACCTTTTTGTTATATTGTTATGGTTATCGCTTGCTAATGCAGAAATGACCGCAGAATTATGTAACAATCGTCCCCCGGCCCCCACAACCCGCAGTGATCGGTGTCTGCACGTCGCAGCTCACGGCCGCCGGTGCTGTCGGCGCCTCCGTCGAGTCTGGCGGTACCGCACCGGCATAGCAAAAACTGTGAACATCTCCGATTATTGTGAAAATTCCCGTTACGATACGACACTGACCTGCCCCACTTCAACAAAAAGCTCCGTCGCCGACTCGGCACCATCGCCGTCGTCGGGTCTCTACTCTCTACAGCGGAATCACTCTTTTTACAACCACCACCTGGACCAGTTCTTTTCTGTGTAATCATCAACGTCTCGCTGCCCGGTCAAACCTCGTGGTCAGACCAGCCACACCGTCCGACGAAGCCAACGTTCCTGTTTTTAATACGTCAAGTCAACGACGCCATAATGGGCTGGTACGCCACCGTGGGCCCGATGTTGGGCGAAGCGGTCCTGGACCAGTGACCGATGCAGATGGGCCACGTCGACCGCGTGTGTGTCGACGGCCATCTGGCCAGCCCATCGCAACCATCGGTCAACCCTCAACAGTCTCATCGTTCCGTCGTCAACAAAAAGTGTAATGTATAAAATACCCTCCCCCCCTATGTCCCTCTTTTTGTTATATTATTCTTTTACTTTAATATGAGTACTTAGTATGCGTTAGATCCTGCGCAGGGCATATTTCTTTTTTTTGTTGCTTCCCGTACTTATCGTCCTTCGCGATATGCCGGACGGTGACCCTAGGGTTGGCGATGTAAAAATGTACAAAATTATATATTTTCCGCCAGACCTCGTGGGCCGATCTGTGGGTTCGCTCAGTCCAAAACATTATAATTTTCCTATAAATGCCATGTGCCAAATTATTATACAATCTTATGTAAATGCCATGTATACCAAAATATACTTTTATAATTGCCATGTGACAAACAGTTGTTAGGTGTTAAACACACCAATGCCATATTATTATCATTAGTATTATTATTTACAAATATTATTTATTGCACGTTGTGCGACCATGTAAAATACAATTATCCATAATTACCCTAATCTTCTCTTTTTTATTTAATTTTATTAATATTGTGTTTTCTTTTCCCCTAAATAAATCCTCGGCATTCAGCTTGCCGTTGTGTGTAACAAAGCCTATGAGCTCCACCGACTTGGCCCTCGGGTCATCACGCGGTGCGGCTCATAGGTCACGACAAAAGTGTTCCCCTTTTGTAGTGGGTGGTTTTTGGTAGTCTCACAAACTACCAGATTCTCACAATCTGGACGTCCTGGTGCGTTGTTAACTTTCTTATCAAAAACTACTGCTGACTACATAATTGAAGAATTAGGACTTTTAATGAAAAAAAGATTGCAAATCACATAAAACCATAGGCGTGACTAGACTTCATCCGCAGTGGCAGCCTAACTTTTGACCGGCGCCACCTAAATGAACAGAAAAATGCACCATTATCCCCTAATAAGGGGGGGGGTTGTCCCTCCAATTTAACATTTATATAGTTGAAAAAAAGTATATCTCTATAAATTCAAGTTAAAATTAATAATATACAGTAGGTATTCTGTACTTTCAGTACCTACCTTTAAATTTAACTCCAGAAATATTAATATTATTATCCATCTATATACAAGCTTGGATTACACCAAATAATAAAATTAGATCATAAACAACATGCATGATGTGTAAGCGTATACTGACATACTGTATAGTGTATAGAATAACAAAATTCTATAAATATTATGTATATAGAGGAAGGTACCTATCTAATGTGTTTAATAATAAGAAGAACATTGAACAACTCATTATATTTATAATATAAGACAATATAACATTGTAACAATTAACAAACATAAATCAAAGAAAGAGTCTTCTTTTTGTAGGGACATTTTTAAAATCATCAATGACACTCTCAACATTGACGTAACTCACATATTCTTGTTCTATAAATAAAAATAATAATGCATTGAGCCTTTCTTGGGCCATTGTGCTTCTTAATTTGGTTTTTACTATCGACATTTTTGAAAAACTTCTTTCGCACCCTCAACTGGTCACTGGTATAACCACAAAATATGTTAGACAGTTATAGAATGTCTTAAAAGTATCGGATCTTCCTTCTATTTCTAACCAATCAAGCGACTTATAAACATAATCTGATGATGTTCATTTGGGTGTGACCTCAATACTTTTTAAAAGCTTAATCTCTACAAAAAGATCTTATGTTTGAATATTTAGCAAATTCTTTAGTATGTATACACAAGATGAGTTGCAATTCAACTCTAAGTTAATTAACTGTCCAATCACAGTTATAAAATCAGATGTTTCTTGTTTAAATCTATCATCGATTCCAGATAATAACACATCTAATAATGGAAAAACAACAGTTAATTTCATTTCTTCACTCATTGTAAGATAAATATGTTGTGATGTAGAACACTGCATATCATCTCTCTTTTTTACAGTAGGTATTTCAATATTATTTTCACTACACAATTGTTCTGTATTCAAAAATATAGACTGCATTTCTTGAGGCGAATTCCTTAATGAGTTTAATGAAGATCGTAGGCATGTATTAGTGAAACAGCAGTAAAAAGTTCTAAGTTCGAAGCGTGTAAAGATGAACTTACTTTTAGTAGCAATTGTAAAATTGGTTGCATTAAATTTAAACAATAAACAAACTCAAAGGTTTTAAGTTGATATAGAAGTCCACGACATTTAGCTCTTGCTTCAGGTATCAAACATTTGGAATTGATTTCTTTTAAAGTACATAATAACGCTTTGTAATTGTTTTTAACTGCATTCACTGCATCAGCGCGACAAGCCCTAGTTTGAGACATTGATTTCAATATTTGTACTTTAGCACCATCTAACTTGGCAAATCTTTCAAATACTGAGTGTCGTATTGGACTGCCTTCAATAAAAGAATAAATTAATTGTACCGTCCCAAGAAAATCAAAGACACATTTATTTACTTCACTATACCTATACTTTGCATTAGCACAAACAGCATCCATTAAAGTTAAATTTAAGCTATGTGCATAACAGTGCACATGCAAAATATTTTTATTTTTGCATTTGGCTTGTACGCCATTAATATTACCTGCCATAGTTGCTGCTCCATCAAAACATACTGCAATTACATTCTTCCAATCTAACATAAATTGACAAGTAATTACATCATCAAGTGCATTAAAAATTGATTCTGCATCCACACACAACATACGTCTCAAAGTAATAAATGTTTCTACTATATTTATTAATTGTGTTGTTATCCAAACACAAATTATATGGGTTCTTAGAAAATTTTGTGCCACAATTCATAATATCAAACCCATTATTTACTAAACCACAGAATTCAGCAGTTCCTTGACTCCCTTTAAAACTGCTATCTCCTAAATGATCACAACATTTTAGTGCATTTGAAACACTATTACTCATAACTTGGGCTGCAAGTTTAACTTTCATTTTCTCGTTAAAATAGAAAATATGCCTTCTTGGTAATTTAGTTGCAAGTTTTAAGCCTTTATTATTTTCTTTATCATATAAATTTTTAATATAGTCCCAATTAATTTCCTCGTTTTTATCATTGTATAGTAATTTTTTATCCCCAAAAGTATTTCTTATTAATTTTATCATGTGACATGCATCATACAAAATAAAAACTGGTTCTTTAGAAACTGGATGTTCAAAAAAAACCTAGATTCACTCGTACTTAAATTAGCTCCTAAATATTTACACATAGCTGTATTAGTATGAGCACCATCAAAAGTGATGGAGTGTACCTACTTTTGCTCCAGTTTCATGCATAAGCTCTAAACATTTTTGCAATAAATTTTTACGTTCACTTCCGTTTAAACTATTTATTAAAAAGTAACCGATGGGCATTTTCCAATGCCCATTCAACGCTACAGTTAAAAAAAACTAGTGCATATGTTGCATGTGGCAATTCGTCAGTGTCTATGTTTATTCCAGTACCCAAATCGACAAACCCATACATTTTTTTACCATTATATTCTATCTGATCCATTATTAATATTTCATCAATTACAATATTGCATAGAAAAACAAACTTCGTCTTTAGCTTTAGATGCTATAGCTAAGAATGATTCATTTGAAAATCCTGGCTCCCCATTAATTACTTTGTACCATCTTGTAATAGACTTGGGATGAGGAAGAACGTCGGTAAAAGATTTCCGAACAAACGTATAAGCCTCGGGGGAGTAAAATTGAAGGGTTATAGCAAATTTTCGAAGCTCATTTGAATATTGAGTCTTTTTACCAGCTATTTTTCTTTTTATAATATCCCGTAGAACATCTGAACCAAAAATATATTAAAAAGAAGAAAACAACAAATTCTTAAGAAATTTTTATTAGAGGTAAGCAAATAAAAAAATTTACCACATCTAAGCCGCTACCATAACTTCACAATTAATTCATTAAATGTTTAGTGATTGTTCATGCAGTTAAAAACAAAAAAAAATCATATTAATACAAAATATAAATGGTAATTTTAACAACAATGCACCAATCATTTAGTATTATTTAAATATTATGTAGTTCATACCAATTACACAATATGCTAATATCCGCCTCTGATAATAGATTTAAAAATATCCATAATCCACAATTATTGTTTAATGATAATAACCGTGGTGCACCGGCTTTACTGCCCTTATTCCGGCCCTGATCCTTGACGCACCTATATTTATATAACAACAGTGATCAAGACCGAGATGTTCATCGGTTTTATTAGACCCCCACTTACACAAAAAGCCTTTTTTCATAATCAAAACACAAAAATGAGCATACACTCTCCTGGCCTGAAGTTGATTAGCTGCATTTTCAGATAAAAATTGCTTATCTTTTAAAGATTCAATTAAATCTTCATATGAGTTAATTTTATTTTGAAGACTATTTACTTGTCTTTTCAATTTATTTGATTTAATTTGCTTTTCAGAAAATTTTTGCTTGACCATTGTTAAATGTCTTTTTGCTCTTTTAGGTGTGCAAAAATGATCAACATCTAAATTCCCAATATTGTGAGCATTAATTAACCTACGTTTTTTAGCTAAGCTTGGCGGGGAAGATAAAATAGAGCCATGTTTCAGTGGTGAACTTTCATTATTAAATAATTTTTTTTGAGCAGGTGTTCTGAAATAAATTATTAAGGTAGTTATAATATCATTGTTTTACTCCATTGATAAAACATTCATACTGATGAGAGTAAATAACTTAATACATTTAATTTAACCTTTTTAATGAGTTAGAAGCTGGACTATCAGATGCATTTTGAGTACTTGAATCGGGGACTGAATGCTCATCAAATTGACTAAAAAAAATTTGCAATATGGTGAAGTAGTTAATAAAACAATAATAATTTTATATTATAGAATATTAAATACATAGGTACCTAGTTGCAGCAAAAGCTGATAATCTAACACTAGGTACCTACTGCATTTTTCTTCAACAAGCCATTTGTTAAGATATGTTGGGGTGAAAAATGGTTGGAACAAACTCTATATGAAGGCAGGCACAATTTAATTTGGCATTCATTCATCCATAACTGTTTAAGTCCTTGTTCTTTAGGAAATCTAAAAAGACAATTTTTGGCATATTGTTGTTTAAATGACATAATAATAGTTCTAAAATATCAACTTACGAGTGAAATGAAACACCAGAATTAACAATTTCTGGTATTTTGCAAACAATACATTTTCGACCCATGTTGCTTGACTACCAGAAAAATGAATATAATAAAAGACTCGAAAAGATTTCTTAATCGTTTTTTAAAATATAAAAATCAAACGACAAAAAGTTCAAAAAATAAAACAACAGCCAACAGGTGGAATGATAACAACAATCGTACAATATTTGTACAATATATTGATATAGATTTTTATCGTGCGTCGCTAGTGTGCGCATGTGCGATGTGCTTCGGTGCTTAGTGCCTAGTGGGCGAAATTTTAAATCATGCAATCGCGGCTCCTAATATACCTCCCACCACTCCACCAATTTAACATGTAATCTTTATCATAGTTGTTAATGTGATACTATAGTGATACGCACGGACTAAGATATCAGGACTGGACACGACAAGGTTGGAGGGTGTGGGGGGGTTGACTACGAAATGTTTTACAACAGGCAGTGTTCGGGGGGATATTTTCCTTTTAGCATTACTAGCGCCGTCCTAGTGGATACTTATGGAACTAGAACACATCATACAAATTTCTAGTTCCATAAGTATCCACTAAGACGGCGCTAGTAATGCTAAAAGGAAAATATCCCCCCGAACTCCGCCTGTTGTAAAACATTTCGTAACCACAATATTCATCTCGTGTCCAGTCCTGTATATCTTAGTCCGTGGTGATACGTGTCGTGAATCGTGATAAGACTATTTATTATCTACTAATTATTGTCGATATATAATTATAAATTAATATTAATATTAATTATTATTTATTTTATAAAATGGAAAATCAAGACGCTGAGGTAAATCAAATAATGTTATATAATGTTATAACAGTTTTTCTGTGTATGTGATTCAAATGTATTAAAGAAAAGAAATTAATACTACCCGTTATTGAAATTGTTGTTTGTATATATTATGTACTGTATTAAAGAGAAGAAATTAATACTATAAAAAAAAAAAAAAATACCCGTTGTTGAAATTGTTGTTTGTATATATTTACTGTATTAAAGAAAAGAAATTAATACTACCGGTTATTGAAATTGTTGTTTGTATATATGGACGATGTATCTATAATTAGGGATGTTGGTTGTGTCTATAAATCTTTGGCAAGTTAATGAAAATAATTAACTTAAGTTAAATTAAGAGGATATAAGATGAATAAGTTAATATGGAAAAAAAATATTAACTTAACTTAGTTAAAAAAAAATTTAATCTATTTTTTTTTTAATAGTATGTAAATCACATAAAGAATGAATGTTATTGCCTTTCTAATCTAATAAAATATATTAATTCAACAAACAAAATTATGTTATCAAGATAAAGAATAGAAAATATGTTTGTGTTATTATAGTATTATAGTATATACTATTTTTATTTTATACTAATATAGCAATATTTTTTTAAATCAACTAGGAAAAACTAAGTTATTTCAACTGTAAATTAAACTAGTGAAGTTCATAAGCTAAAAACGATATAATTTTATTATTAATTGATGTTAAATTTACTTATTATGTACCAAGTGTATTGTATATAATATATAGTATATGTTTTAGTTATGTGTTACTTGTATTTATTATTGATCGATTGTATATTAAATTTACCTGTTATGTATTAATAAAATAACATTGATGTTAAAATTTAAATAATAAATAATAATGTTGTACTATATGTGTTTTTTTTTGTGAATGTGTATAACTACTAGATAGAATATATTTGGTTGAAATAAATATTGGTATTAGTGTATTAATATATTAGTATTTATTTCCAGTTATTTTCATGTACAGAGTGTAAATTATTATTTAAAAAAAGTATACATTGATGAGACACATGCGAGAAAAACACAATGTCCAAAAATTAAAAGTTAATTCATTGAAAAACGATGAAGACTTTGAACAACAAGATCTATCTGTACAAATAGTTGTGCTGGTGGGATGCTTGTTGGTGTTATTATTTTAACTAGTGAGGCATAGAAAATAATAAAATTAGGTTTAGAATTGTGGAAGAAGTTATTACCACCTAATGCATTAGGTAAAAGAGGCATAAATGGCCCAAAAGTATTTATGTCTGATGACTCTGCCGCTGAAAGAACTGCTTTACATGAAGTATTTCCAAAAGCAACACTTCTTCTTTGTATTTTTCATGTACTTCAAGCCACCTGGAGATATTTATGGGATTCCAATCATGGTATTCCTTTAAAATTCCGTTCAATTCTTTATTCTGGAATAAAGAAAATGGTATATGCAGAAAATAATGATGAATTAAATATTAGTTTTAATAAAATATTGCAACACCCTTTAACAAACGAATTCCCGCGATTTAGAACATATGTTGAAAGATTATTTGAGAGGAAAAGTGAATGGGCAATTTGTTTAAGAGTTAATTTAATAACAAGGGGGCAAAATACTAACAACATTAGTGAAGCTGGCGTAAAAATCATGAAAGATGTTGTACTAGATCGAACAAAAGCATACTCTCCAGTTCAATTGTTCTTTTTTATTGTTCAAGACTTGGACACATTTTATAAAATGAAAATTCTTGATGTAGCAGCAAACCGCCCACCTCAATATCTAAAAAAAAGATTTTTAATTACAAAAATACAACAAAAATCATTAAAATATGAAGCTATACAATCAAGTGACTCACTTTACTTAGTCCATAATACACTGAAAAATACCACATACAATATTGATCTAGATACTGGCTTATGTTCATGCCCACAAGGAAATACTGGTAAACCCTGTAAACATCAAATATTTGTAGCGAAAGATTTAAAAAGAGAACTTGGCCTTTGCTTACCTGTAACAGAAGAAATTAGGAACAAACTCCATGTAATAGCAACAGGATGTTCAGAGATTCAAGATGGATAGTATAGCTCCACTTTTGAGAAAATTGCAACTGACAAGTGTATTAATGTACAACATGATCACGCTGAAATTGAAAAAGAAAATGATCAAATATTACAAAGTAATTTAATTACAGAAAATGCTTCATATGATTATAATGTCACTAAATTTAATGAGATGATTGAAAAAATTAAAAGTACATGTTTATCTGATGTTGAATATTTTTTACCTGGAATGAATAACATGGTTAAATCGTTTGATAAAACAATGCGAACACATTCTTCTTTACTGTCAGCTATGATGACATTTGGGAAGTATTCTGGTGTTGAACCAAATTCTAAACGCATGAAACTTATTGGTAACAAACATATTGGAATACAACCCACAGCTTGTTCAAGACGTTCTACACAAATCGGTGGAAGAAAAAATTTAGCAGCAGGGAGAGTCCCTAAATGGAAACGTGTTACTGAACATGGGTACACACAAAAACCATCTTCAAGTAAGCTACCTAGGACAAAACTTAATATAAAATCATTCAATCCATCAGAGTTGCCATTAAAAATATCAAAAGCCCCTCATAAACTATCTCATTGTGTCGAACAAAATAAATCATTAGGATCAAATCATTAAGCAAAATTATTATTATACTAATTATTATACTTATTATTATATATTTATTTATTATACAATTTTTAATTTTTATTTTTATTTCGAGTTCCTGTAATATATAGTATTCAATATTAAAAATTGAAAAATTAAACAATAAAACAATTGTAGTACTCTTACGAAAATAGAATATATATCAAAAAAATAACAATATATATACTTGCTACTTCATTTATTTACCTATTTCCATTTTCCATTTTTCCAATTTTTCCGTTAAATATTGTATTATACTATATTGTTATTAGTTAATCTTAAGTTCTATTAATTCTTGAGTAATATACTATGGTAATATTTACATTTTTTTAATAAAAATTAAAAGAACATGTAATACAAAATCATTAAATTATCGTCGTTATCACAGAATATATCGACATATCAAACATGAACTATGATAAAGATTACATGTTAAATTGGTGGAGTGGTGGGAGGTATATTAGGAGCCGCGATGGCATGATTTAAAATTTCGCGCCTAGTGGGACGCAGCTTATCGTCAACATGAGTAACTACTACATGTTCCGTCTATAAGTATAAGGTGTATGCCGAGAGAACGCGCTGTTAGGTTTTTTCGCGATGCGCAAGCACGCGACGTTTAAGCCTCGCCCACTACTCGTCGTCGGCGGCCGGCCGACGATTGTGCTCATTCTGGAGCAACGTCTATTACATGACTAAATAAACAGGCATGATCACTAGATTATTTCACGCATTCATTCTTCCCCAGACTTGGATGAAAAACTATATGCCATGGAGAAAAAAGTTATTCCCACTATAAATTATATTATATTATTTCATTTCTAATTATATTATATTAGTTATTATTATTATAATATTACTTATTAGTTATTAGTAATACATTTAATCTAGTAGTAATATAATAAATAATCAAAATGATAAGCTTCCGAGTCATTATTGTTTTTGTATTGTTCAATATTGTGTAAATATAAATATTGTATTAAATAAATACATGCATATAACATTATATATGACAATGTTTGTTTTTCTTTAGTTATTTATACTTTTCCTTCTCCATACAGCCATCTGCCATTGTAAGAAACAATTTATTTAATATTGGTTTACTGGTTTATTGGTTTTGCCTGTAAAAAAAGTGTATTGTTTTCTCCTGGCTTTTTAAGCAAATTGTTGTTACAAATTCATTTTATTTTTATAAATAAAAATGCCCAGCTGCATGGTACCTAGCTGTGCAAATAGCTCTGCCATAGGGTTTGGTAAGGCTGTAAGTTATTACAGAGTTCCAAAGTCACCCACTTATCGTGCAAAGTGGTTTAATGCATGTGGTGTAGTTGACAATACAGTGAAAGATGGTAAGTCATCATGTAGTATACTGTTAAGTATTTTTATTTAATGAAGGGACAATTAAACATTGCAATAATTTGTGCACGAATTAATGCATTAATAGCACGAATTTGTTCAAAACATTTCTCGCCAAATGCAATGAAGGAGAAACCGTTAATCCAAATTAAGGCAGGATATTCTCCTTGCAAAAGTAAAAAGCTTAAAGCTGATGCAGTCCCTACAAAATATCTAACTCCACGGAAAGTAAGTATTTAATTTTATTTTACTAAAAAATATTGTGTGAACTAAATAATTTTTATTTCAATACAACATAACAAAAATAGTGGATACTTTATACATAGCATGGTAGGTATTAATGATATAGGTACATAGTTTTAATTATAAATACAGTCTCTACACTTTAATATATATTTTACAGATAAAAAACTCTAGAGTTAAATTAAATTCTATCCAACAAACTGCTGAAGTCTCAACATTCTCAAATCCAGAAATTTTACCGAATGCGGATTCTTTCAATGAATGTCCCTTGGTAATACATAAAACATTGTTAAAAATAGTTTATTTTTGTATCACTATTTTCTCAACTACCTATGATAGCATATATATGAGCATAACATAATTTGTAATACAACTTGACATATGATGCAGGTACCAAAGGTTGAAGTTCTCGATGACTGTAAAAAACCATTCATCCCGAGGTCTCTTGTTAATGAATTTGAACATGATGTGTATTTTTACCCATTGACAACTCTGAAATATTTGTACAATTTTTTTCTTGTTTGTCTTGTAGTTGACTAAAAAAAAAATTAAATTCATAATTTCTGTTAATATTTCTCATTTTGAATTTATAATTTATAGCGATTATCTCCGAAAACAACTAGATAATTTAAATCAAAAACTTTTGGAAGTTCAAAAAGAAAATGAACAACTTCATATAAAAAATAAAGAGGATTTTAATTTAAATTAAATGTGCATAAGTTGTTTTCGTCAGTGTTCACTAAGACACAAATTAATTACTTTTTAAATGACAAAAAAAAATTAAAAAGTGGGAGAATGAGGATATTGTATCAGTGATAACACTCAGAAGTATTTCTACAGCCGCTTATTCATATCTGCTTCAAACTATTCCATTGCCAAGTATTCAATTATTTCAAAACTGATGTGAACTATTTTATAACATGTTGTCGTATTTTAGGTCTTTCTACATTAAGAAGATATGCCAAAACATTTTCCATAGAGCCAGGTGTATTAGATAATGTTTTAAGTATCATGAAACAAAAAGGTTATTAACATTAATAATTAATTAACTAATTAACATTTGGTAGTATTATAAATTATAATATTACTAATAATAACCTATTATTTAAGGTACATCCATGTCTGATAGAGATAAAATTGTTGTTCTCTCTTTTGATGAAGTTTACATACCACATGATGTATGCTATGATAAAGCAATAGATCAAGTTTTAGGACCACATCAAACTGTGCAAGTGGTCATGGTTAGAGGACTCTTCAAATCTTGGAAGCAGCCAGTCTTTTATTTTTATGACACACCAATGACTGCTTCAATACTTCTTCTTCTTCTTTTCTTGGTTTCGGCCTTTAAGACATACCGCTAATACAAATCTTGCCATCTGTCCCTATCCTCTGCAGCTTCTCTCCATCTGATTCCTGGATCTATCATTTTTAAGTCCTTTTTAACACAGTCTTCCCACCTCAGTCTGGGTCTTCCTAGAGGTCTCTTACCTATTGGTTCATTCTCTATTACCTGTCTAACTAGGGATAATTGTTTACGCCAGGCATGGCCCCCCCAACTGAGTCTTCTTTTTGCGATCTCCTTAACTATGTCAGGTCTCTGAAACTGTCTTTTGAGTTCATCATTATGCAACTTTCTCCATTCATTTGTTTCACTGTCAAAGACCGTCCATAAATTTTCTTAAAACTTTCCTCTCGAAAACCCCTAGTCTCTGTTCTTCAGCTTTCCTCAATGCCCACGTCTCAGAGCCATACAGGACAATAGGTCGTAATAATGTCATATACATTCTTATTTTTAAATTTTTAGAGAGTGTCCTCGATTTTAGTATTTTTTCTAATCCATAATATCCCTTGTTAGCTAATTGTATTCTTGACGACACCTCTGTCTTAAGTTCATTATCTTGGGTGATAATCGATCCTAGATATTTTAATTGTGATACTTTCTTAAATTTATGTCCTTCTAGCTCAATATGTTGTTTCTAGTCTATAATTTCTGTTACTCGACTGACAACCAATTTCTGTCTTATCATCATTAATAGTTAAGCCTACTCTCCTCTCCGCGGTCTTTATAAGTTTCTTTCCCAGACTTTTTATCACCTCAATATTATCTCCTAAGAGAGCAATATCGTCTGCGTATACTATGAGCCCTATTTTAACCTGACCTAGCTCAATTCCTTCCGAGATGTTCATTTATCGAACTATTTTTTCCAGTACCAAGTTAAACATCACTGGAGATAGTGGCTCGCCTGTCGGAGACCTGTTTTCACTCCCACGGGCTTTGATATTGTGTTTGCTATCTTGACTTTTATATCTGCTTCAATACTAAACAACATAATTAATAAATTATTTAACTGTGGATATAATGTGGCAGCAGTTACAAGTGATATGGGTCCTACTAACATTTCTTTGTGGAATTCATTGAAAATTACCCATACAAATAGTAGTTTTTTACATCCAAACACTGGAAAAAACATCTATGTCTTTTCTGATGTACCACATTTATTGAAATTGATAAGAAATAACATCATTGATCATGGATTTAATATAGTTACTGAAAATGGTAATACTTTAAGTTCATATAAATTGTGACAATTTTGTTTACTTCATATTATATTCATAACAATGTATTAAAATTTCTTTATGTTAAGGTAATAAATACATAGGTAAAAGTTTAGGTTAATTTTATTAGTACAATGAGAGTACCCGGAAATAAACAACTTATGACATTCCAAAAGGGAATTCTGATTTCAAATTTATCTTTAAACTTACCTGTACAAAGATCTTAAAGATTA